AATGGGAGGGTATGGGGAGGAGGGAAGTGGAAATTTTTATAAACAAATAAATAAATAAATAAATAAATTTTAAAAAGCAAAAAAAAATAGCAGAAAGAACCTTTCTAAGATACATGGTCTATTTATTCTCTGACTTCCAAACTTATGTGTGTCTAAATATTATGCATAAGCAGCAATAATATATTAATAAACTGAATATAAATAGATGTGTTTCTAAAAAAATTGAAATTAAAAGCAAATATACTTATTTACTAAACAGGTTGATTTTTATTAAACTCAGAAAGAGCGTGATAATCATCTGGAATGTTCAGCATTGAACTTTTGCTCTTTCTGATGAGTGTGACAAGGCTAAGAAAAGACCAGTCTTGAAGACCAGAATGTAGGAGCATCATTGAATTTTCCTGTATTGTAAGACAGACAACTAATAGACTTAGTTGACTCTTAATTTCCTAAATTAAGTTAAGCATAAACTTTCAAAATATAAGATCATTTTTAATTGGAAACTTTATTTTCACAAACCCAGGAAGATTAACTAAAGAGGTTAAATTTTTCTCCTAAAATTAATCTACAAATCTAGTCAAAATTCCATTGATACCCCCACTGGAGACTGGAAGACAGTTACTTTGATGGCATTAACCCTGTCAAGTGATGGTAAAGGTGACTGTCAGACAGTGGACTGAGACATCACAGAATAAAGATATTTCTGCCTGTCAGTCAGCAGAGGTGCAGGAGTTCCACACCAGTGAAGCCGGAGCTGTCTGACGGTGGAGACTGCAGACCTTCTGTTCATACATGGGAATTCCATGTTTAGACAGACACTTAAATACTAAGAAAACCTGGGCAAGAATTCAGTGCCAGCTCTAAGTAGCTGGTGACGTTGTAGTCCCTCATATGGACTGCCATATAAGCACTGAAAACAACAGAGATGTAGATGTTATGAAGAGTACTTATAGCAGAAATATGATTGATGGGGTTTTAAGTTGAAAAATAATAAAAATGTATAAAAATCACTAGAAGAAAATATCCATGAAGTCAACTACAGTGATTTTTACATGAGGAAATTATATTTTAGTTTTCATAAATATATTAGGTATATTCATGTAAATATTCTTCAATGATATGTGTGTACTTTTATAATTAAAATGTTAAATGCATATGATGTAATTTCAGAAAATAACTGTTGTGATGATGTGGGTTTTTGTTTTTCAGTCTGTCCAGTGTTAGCCTGCCTTTAGCTAAGATAATTCCCATAGTAAACGGACAGATCCATTCGGTGTGCAGTGAAACACCTAGTCATTTTGTGCAGGTAAGCAGGAAGCTGTGTTCATGCTGTGGTTGTTTCCAACACAAAAGCACATTCCCTGCTGTGTTAATTTGCTTAAAACAGAAGCTTGCAACCATATTCAGATGATAGCACGCTTGCAAGAGTAGCAGTGCCTGACAGTAAATTCACTGCAATACCTTCCCATGCCGCCCAGCTCTAGCTGGACTGCACTGTGGTGCAAATGGTTGGAGGGTTGGCCAAATCTGTGTAGCATTATGCTTTGCATTAACAATGCAGTTCTTCACAGTTTGAAAGAAACTGAAAAAATGTCGCAAAGTAAGGTGTTGTCATCTAATAAAATAGTTGTTGATAGTGCCCCAGTGGTCTGTTAACGGAAACATCACAGGTATGGAAAGTTTTCATTCGACTACTTACAGCTCCTTTTTTTCTTCAAACTTTATTTGAGAAACATTTTATTAAAAGAATGACAAACTGGGGACTATATTGTAAGTTTAGAATGTGTTACGGTGTGCCTCAGTAGCAAAGTGCTGCAGGGACGTGCCGTGCAGAGTCTAAGGCCTGCACACGCATGCCAGTCTGTTAGTGCCATGGCCTCAAACAGTTTAGTGCGTTTCTATGTAGACTTTACCCTCTTGGCACAGTGCAGAGTGCCCATACTTAAGGGCTGAGCTTCTTCCTGCCCTGATCAGACACGAGCCATCTTTCCATCCAGGTGGCCCTGCTCTGTCATGCTTCCCACCCAGCAGCTGGCCACTCACCCTGCAGAAGAAGCAGGAAAGAAGGCTGATGGCATGTCACTGAAGTGCAAGCCATCATCTTTGTTATAACCCGGATGCATCCATTTTGACAAATTCATGAGAAATACAACAATATATATATACATATATATGTGTATATATATATATGTATATGTATATATATATATATATAATGCTGTAACCACAGCTTTAAGACCTGAGTAATTTGTACATTACATTTTAATCAGTTATACATTTAAGCCTGTATAACTGATAATCGAAACAAAACAAAAAAGTTCAAGTTTTATTGTCTGCATTTGTAGTCATGATTCTGAATGAGGGTCCATGGGCTTCACCAAACTAAAAATGGATCCATCTCAGAGGTTGAAGCCTCTTTGAGAATGAGGGATGCAGGCTTTGAGCCTGGCCTCCGTTCTCCTGTGACATGCTCAGCTTCAGGTGTTCAGTCCAGCTACCCTAAGAAACGTGCTTTCAATCCGTGCTTCTTCAGGGTTTATAGAAATGGCTGCAGGAGTCCAAGAGGGGGAAGTTTATTTGATACCTGTGGAATTAGAAAACTCAACCCCACACAGGATCAATTACAAGATTAAAACGTCCCTGAATTTAGGGCACATATCTGTCTTTATGTGCATGTTCTTATTGACCTACAGAAGTGTTCCATTGTGCTGTTGGATTAAGGAGAGCTACAGGGAAATGAAAAAAAACAGCAACAGGAAAATCATTCATGTGACAGTCAAGTCAGATAACTCACTCCCATGTAGGAATGGCCCCAGATCATTTGGGACAGATTGATTTTTAAAGAGTCCCACCAGACACTCAGGTGTAGAAGCAGATTGGATGTGTAAAAACATGAGTGCCAGCAAGATAGTTCCATATTCACACTAGATCAACAAATTAGTAATGATTGACTTTAGTTAGTAAAGATGTGTTGGGTTTTGTAGGGTAGATTCCATTTAATGGTAATATTTTTTGTTTATTTTTGTGAGTAGCTCAGGATGCATTCAAACATATAATTCTCATAATCCTCCTGTTAGTCTCCAGAGTCCCTGGAATTTCAGGATGTGTCACTCCCTGCTTGTGTTTTGGCTTTCAGTTATGGAAAGGCTCTACACTTAAGACATTATATAGTTTTTCATGTGCACATTAAAATATCGTAAGCACCAGCAGGTGTGCTGCACATCTCTGACCCTAGTGCTCAGGGGCTGAGCAGGATCAGCAATTCAAGGCCAGTCTGGATTGGACAGCAAGACCCTATTTCAAAACCCAAGCAAAAATATCTTAGTATTTGAGTACTGACTTTCTTTTACACTTGTAAGAGGGCGTGGGCGTGTGAGATGCATTGCTACTACAGTACAGAAGCAACCTCAAAACAAGTGCAGACAGGAACACATGCTTTCTGTCATTTTATTCATATCATTTTAAAGGAGAACACTTACATAGTTTTTGAAATACATTTAAAATTAAATTTAGGAGGGGGCAGTGTTGCTTCTTTCTGAATTAAGTGACAAGATGTAACAGACATCCTAATAACTTCCACAACTGCCGTAGGGAATTTTTAAGGGGTCTGGTTTATATTGCATACAGATTCCCCTTTCTCATTTAATACTGATGCAGTTTGAGGCCGGTGGTCATATTTAAAGGAAACATGACATTTCAGTTCATGAAAATAAAAAGTAACTTCCTCCCACAGCTTTATATTCACCATCAGGAGACTGAGAACCTTTGCCATAAAGCTGGCGTGCATGGTTTGTGTATGTGTGTTTATAGAAAATATACATATCCTACGTAGCCAAGAATTTTGGCAGGTTTTGTAGAAATAAGAAACTAACCAGTATTTCCTATGGTTTAGTTTCCTTAGTTTCTTCTCGTTCTTAAGTACACAAAGCTTCAAGACAGACTCATTGCTCATAGAAATGAATTGCACATGTCTTTATGCCTTACAGACTGTACTGTTACTATTTTTGCTAGGACCTTTTGATGATGGAGCAAGTAAAAGACTTTGCTGCTAATGTGTACGAAGCTTTTAGTACCCCCCAACAACTGGAGAAATGATTGTCTTTCTTCCTTTGAGAAAAGCTAGCACGGGAGTCATCTACATTAAAAAGTACTGAAGTCGCCTATACCTGGAATGACAATTCGCAACCAAAATGCCTAATAAAGTATGTTCTTAAGCAAAGTTATTTCATGATGAAGTAGATTCATTTGGCACCTTACTGTATCTTTAACTCATCAGCAGTCTACTTCATCAGGTGTATCTAACTGGTGCACAGACTACAAACGTCAGGATCATCCATGATCTGTTACAACCTGGATAGCAGATCCAAACCAAATAGATAATTTTATACGTACATGTGATGGAATGTGGTGTCCTTTCACACATAAAATGAGGGAAAATCTGTCTTGAGAAGTAGATCTAGGATATGTGGGCTCTGAAAATATAGTGCTTAACTAATCATGAAGTTCCCTGGAATCTAAAGTAGGCGAGGGCAGCCGGACTCTCTCCAGTCAGTGATTTGTCTTCACACACCTTGACAGAGGGCTATCTTCTAGGAATCAGTGGACTTTAAAACCTCTGGTCAGCTTTTTTTCTTTGCTATTTTTTCTTCAATATTTATTTACAGCGTTTTCTAAAGCTTTCTTAGCGCCCTCAACATTTGCAGGTTAATGTTGTGTTCATGTTGTTTACTCACAATTATTAATTACAGAGTTTTATTCATTTGTGTATAAATAATTTTAATAACTTTGTATTGACTTTGAGTACAATAACCTGTTGCAATAAACTATTTTAATACAATATAGTTTTGTTCAGTTAATACTTTTCAGCCATTAATTTATTTGTTATCTAGTAGTAAAGAGAGCATGCTAGTTTTAAGATTTAGCTAGTCTTTAGTCGGTGCTTTCTTCTAACTTTTTTTTCCAGAAAAAATGTAAATAAAAGTAAATTATTCCTTGTCTCTAGTATATCTGTGGTTCTTCCTTTAGAGGGGCATAAAGGCAGAACTGACCGCATCAAGTGTCAGCAGTGGATTAGCTGAGCCCAGTAATGGACTGTTTGCAGAACATAGTTGTATGTCTCTCCCACATAATATAATCTAACTAAGCGGGAGATGGTAGAAAATGAATTGTGAAGGGCTTCCTAAAGCCTAACTGAGTGCTATAACAAAACAACCATGCATAAAGATGGAGTAGGGTTTGCACCAGGAAAACTTTAAAATTCTGCAGAAATTATCACCTAGGTCATCAGCATCTGTGGAGTCAAGACGATTGAAGAGGTGGCAGGGTTTAAAGGAAATAAACTCAGCTGTGTGTGTGAAGGTGATTGACAGTGCACACTGCTAATCTGCTTCTATTGGTGTTGGAACCTTCTTGTCTAAAGCAGTCTGGCTAACCTAGAAATTTAAAACAGGTTGTCATAAACCCTTAGACATTTTAACTTAAAATCCAAACACTCTTAATTAGCAAATATTTCCCCTAGTGTCGCGTCTCACTTTTCAAGTGCATCTACTGATAAATGTTCTCCATTGTCTTCCTGGCACAGATTACATGCAGTAGCCATGCAGCTTTTATTACCCTTCCCCATCTGTCAGTACTATCTTAGTACTATTAGTACTATTTCTCTTACATTAAACAAATGGGTTTTTTATTATTTTTATCTTTTTTTTTTTAAGGCAACACTCTTTCTTCTAGCCATCCCACAGAGTCAGCTTAGCTGCCAAGAAAACTACAGCTCTCCGGTCATTATTGTCTTCTGCAGTCAAGATAATAAGATATTCCACTGGCATAATTAATTTGTATTGGTCTCCTAGGGCTGCTGTAACAAATTATTGTTAAATGGGTTACTTGAAACATCAAAATTCTCTTTCTCTCACTTCTGGTGTGAAATCTAACACTAAGATGTCCCAGGACTATTCTATGACAGGAATATTCTATTCTATTCTATTTTATGTGGGGAAAATCCTTGAGTGGTTTGCGTGTTTCCATTAGATTCTGGTGGTGGTATCCCTTCGTAGAAATATAACCCTAATTCTGTGTTTGTGCCCTTTTCCAAGTTCTAAGGATAGTGTCCATCCCCTATCCAATATGAGCTGCCTTCAAAACTTAATTATATTAATAAAGATTTCATTTCCAAGATCACGTTTTAGAGGTTTGAGGTGGACATGTTCTTCCCATTGCAGCCATATAACTAATCTTTGGTTAATACACACCACCCATGGGAGTAGAAGTGGATGGTGTCACTCACGGAAAACCTTTGCTTATCCTAGACAGTGGTCAGCAGGAAAGAGCATCGGCTAATTAGTGCATTGGCTAAATGGACTTTAAGTTGCTTCTACTTGTTTCCCCTTTAAGACATATTAAATATACTTGATATTACACATGTATAAAACTTTGAAAGGCATTTACTTCACTTGGAAATAAGGCTGGAAAATTTTTATCTAGTAGTGTTTTTAACTTAACAAAAGTAAAATGAAGTTTTTCCTAATTCATAACTGAGTACTCTGACCCTTTAGGACCAGTGTTGCCTCCATATGGCATTCCTAAGAAAATGAGATAAATTCATATATTTAGTATGTTAAAGCCGGCATCAGCACCTATTTTATTCAACCCAGTAATCTACTTTGGTTTGCCTTCAATATCTAGATAGTAAGCCCCACAAAAAGACCACCAGTCACGTATGCAATCAACAAGAGTGTTTAATTTGAGAATAAAAATACCTGCATGCAAGGGTGGCAAAATAGCCACACCGAGAGAAGCATGCAGGCTACTTTTAAACTGGATTAGGGGAATTACTGGGAGGGAAGATTAGTCTGGGGGCTGATTGGTGGGTTTAAACACAAAGTTCATAGGTTGCTATAAGATTGGTTGGTGGTTCAGTGGTTAGGGACTCTCCAGCAGCAGGGTGGGAGAAGCTATTTTTAGCTATCTCAAACTTCCATAAAGCTGCGGAGCACTTACTGCTTGGTTATACCAGAGTTGTGGTCTTTCCAAGAGCTGCTTGTTCAATTCCAGTAAACCGAAACAGGCCTGGTCCCTGGCAGGCCTGGAGTCTGTCATGGCATTGGTTTGGCTCCTTGGCTCTTTCAGCAGAGCTAATGGTGAACAAGTGTTTATCTTCCAGCTTCCTGACGAGTCCACCTGTGTGAAAGCCAAAGTTTTAAGTTTTAAATGGTCTGTGTGTGAAAGCCAAAGTTTTAAGTTTTAAATGATCTGCCTAAGAGATCCACGAAACAAAAATGCCTCTGCTCTGCAAGCCCCTGGCCCAAGGATAGATGGTTCCTGGAATTCTGGAGGCTGTGTTTATGGGCGATAACAAGCTATGTGTTTTCACTCCCCTAAACAAGTTTGTTGGACCCATCTGCAACCTATGTGCTTGATCACTGATGGGCGGGATGTTTGGGAGCAGGAAATGCATCAGGATATATGTTTGGGGATGATTGGATGTAGGCAGGAGGCATGCAGGCTAGTAGATTGGGATGTATGCTTGCTCCTGATTGGACCTCATAGAAAACTCAGGGAATTGTGGGTTACAGGGTTTCTCTGGGTAACAATCCTGGCTGTCCTGGCACTCACTTTGTAGATCAGGCTGGCCTCAAACTCAAAGAAATCTGCCTGCCTCTGCCTCCCAAGTGCTGAGATTAAAGGTGTGTACCGCCACGGCCCAGTTTGTGGGTTTTGCCTTTTTAAAACCCTGAAAAATTTCTGGGAGTCATTTCCTGGGAACGTGGGTGTGGACCTGGCTAGAACCTATCTACCTGGCCGGTATTTAAATTTGCTTCAAATTTGACTTTAAGATGTGGTCATAGTCTTATTCTTGACTGGTGGGATCTGCTTCACCCTTCTGCCCCCATGCTTTCCCCATGGTAGTGGGCTGAACCCTTAAACCCTGAGCGAAAAGAACCCCTTAAGTGGCTTTTGTTAGGTATTTCAAAGCCAGACAAAAAGGTCTACAGAAAACTGTTATTGACAAGTGTGGCCTTTGATATAAGAAACTTCACCATGTGGTTCATAGGCGTTCAGAACTGGTTTGCAGCGGGTTACAGTAGAGTTTGCTTCCTGCTGAACAAACACTAGATACAGGGCATGCATAGGTAGGACTTAAGGAGCCAGTCTACTGGGAATTCAGAAAGTCGGAGTGCCAAGACGAGTATAATGAAGTCCCAACTCAGAGAGCTTCAGATGGAATGGAGATTCTTAGGAAACAAAGTCCCCCTTTGCTCCTTTCTGCTTGGGGCCTGAAAATATAAGTGGAGCTGAATTCTAAAGTAATGAAAACTTTGCCAGAGAAAACCTTACGACATCGTAACAGCAACCATGGCAGGTTATTGCTGCTCTGAGCTCTACAGTCAGAGCAGAATGGTAAACAAAATGCAGTTTGGTGAGGAATGTGCTTAAAGCTTCAGACAGGGCAGGTGTGAAGAAATCAACTGCAATTGTTGCGGTTTGCACTATCAAATTGCACCCTCTGTGCTGCTATAAATAGTAATCGTGCCCTGAGGGCATGGCCCCACCCAAGGACTTCAACCTGTGAAAGTGCAAGTTAATTTGAAAAGTGACAGACTAAACTTAGAACGACATTAAAGGGCTTCTCTATAAACAAACAAACAAACAAACAAACAAACAACCAGGTTCAGACACCAAGGTAAGAAGAGGCCACCAGAGTGGCAAAAGAAGCCAGACTGCTTCTAGAGCAAACAGCAACATCCATACAATTTTTCCAAACATGCCAAATGCAAGTGTTAGGGAGTCATGGAGGCTTTCAGCACAGTTCCAGAAAGCTGCTAAGGTCCTGAGGCCTGACAGTGTGTGGCAGTATTGGAGTTCTTTCAAAAAGACCTTGAAAGGGCCATTAAAGACCATTGCTTGCAGTTGTAAAAATGAAGTATTCCTGGTAATAGAAACGTCAAGATGTTGGAGATGTCAGGTAGAAGGGACACAAGTGAGGAAATCTACAACTTGGAAGTAGAGTTAGACTGTGAGACAGGCTACAAGTGCTACAGTGATGAAACTCCAGGGATAGGGATGCTCTAGGCTGCTGGAGCCAACACGATGATATTAAAATCCTCAGATGCTGAAGATAGAGCTTCAAGATTGGGCAGCTGTTCTGCTGGGTTCCAGTTTTACTCTGACCCAATCTTTCCTTTTAAAACAGGGATGTTCTCTGCCTTGTGTGTTGGAAATCTGTAACTTGGTTTTTGATTATATTCTTGTTGCAGAATATTTGTTTAACTATGTAAAGATGTGTTGCATTTGTTTAATTATGTAAAGATGTGTTGCTCTTTTACCTAAGAAAAAGCTGAATGGCCAATGCAAGGGAAGAGGTATAGATGAGACTTCCAGGCTTGAAGAGTAAGTTGGAGGGGGAATTTAAGATCAAGAAGGAAAGGAGGTGACAGGGAGATGGCAGGGGGCAAACAGACAGATACAGAAGAGGAAAGAAAGTAGGACATACAGAATGAATGAAGGGTAAAAGGCCCCACGGCAAAATGTAGATCAGTAGAAACAGGTTAAATTGAGTTAAAAGGGCTGGTGAGACAAGCCTAAGCTAAGGCCGAGCATTCATAATTAAAATAAGTCTCTATGTCTTTGAGAGCTGCTTAGCAGCCCAAAGAAAATTCCAACCACACAGAGTAGTTCATAGTTAAACAATACTGCCTTGAGTCTTGGAAGAGGTTGTTGGCTTTAGATTTTGAACAGCGCTGAAATTCATAAGACTATGGAAATTTCTAAAACCTGGGCTGAGTGCATTGCATCCTGTATTGTAAGCCATGAGCCTATGGGAATGTATAAATTTCCTCT